AAGAGCCAGGCCGGCGTTTCTACCCATCTGGGCAGCGGGCTCTTGCAGAGGAGGGAGGTGGCTCTCTCCTTGCAAGAGCCCGCCTCCCAGCTGGGTAGAAAGGCTCTTGCGAAGGAGAGCAGGGACCTCCACCTCCCTCCTTCGCAAGAGCCGGCCGGTGTTGCTACCCAGCTGGGCAGTGGGCTCTTGCAGAGGAGGGAGGTGGCTCCCTCCTTGCAAGAGCCCGCCTCCCAGCTGATCAGCGGTTCCAAAATTGCCGCCAGTTTCACACCCTGCTTACCGAGGGCGCGAAAATGGCGGTGGTATGGAGGAACTTTGCTGAACGGTGAGTACGGAAGCCATTGGAACGCATTAAACTAAGTTTAATGCGTTCCAATGGCTTTTTGCTTTCCGTTTAATGAAGTTTTCACATAGCGAAGGTTAATCCGGAACGGATTAACCTCGCTATGCGAGGCACCACTGTATGTGGGAGTAGATTTGAATGAATACAGAGGGGCTCAATTCTGAGCAAGGGACTGTACTGTTGGTCAAAACAGCTATACAGAACCTCCAGGTTCAGAGGTAGTCACTGAAAGCCAGTTGGTATAGAAATGGAATAGAAGACGGCTACGGTCTACCTCATATGCAGTTGCTACTTCAGAAGCAGATAATAGACAAGAAGTGTTGTGTGATCCAGCAAAAGACATTAAGACATCTCTTTAAGCATACCAATGTAATAACAGAAAGTTACAGGTAAGCTTAAGATTTTTGACAGAAAAGCATCAGAAGAGGAAAGAGTCAAAGATAAAGGATTCTTACTTCTCCATATTCTTCAAAGAATTCATTTTTATGTCGATGCAGAGTATCAATAACTTTAGTCAGGATAAGAGGCAGCCTGTCTGTAATAGTGTAATATGCAAAGGATCTACAAAGAACAAAATAATATTATTTTAGTTTCCTAGGGAGCCACTTCACTTAAAGGAAGAACTTTTAACAAGCGATTGAAATCTAAAACAAAAGAAAAAACCCACAACATTCTTAATACAAGAAGGAATAGATGTGGACATCATGACAACCCATGGTTTACTGTGATGGTAAGTAATGCAGACCTCTCCCAGGCTATCACACTTGCTCTCATTTTAACTTCTCCAGCATGATTAGAGGTTAACTTTTTGATTAACTGATTATCTTGCCTTGTCATCTGAACTTTATAAAAATAGTGGCTAATCTTAACAATGGTTTACTTGAACAAAATCAATATCAAACAAGCATGGTTTATGAAGGTGGCTTCTTTCAAATAAGCTATAGTTAGGAGTTGCCACAGTTTTGAGTTTGCATGTAATGCTAAACTGTTGTTAACTGAAATCAGAAGCAAAACCTTGCTGCTGTATTCATTCTTCATGATCATGGAGAAAAGAGGAAATGAGTGCATGAGACAGGTAGGAAGAGAGGCTGTGGTGGATTTTGTCACAATTTATTTAAGGCTTACCATGATGTCTAATCCCCACAATTCACTGCACATGCACTAAACACACATTAGCATCCTGAAAAGAATATTAATCAATTTGAGACATTTTTCTGTGGAAATAGTGTTTAAAAACAGAAAAAAATTATATGTTTCCCTATAAAGAAGCAAGCAAATGTACAAAATAAGAAACACATAAAATTATGCTCCCCTCCTCCCCATCTCGATAAAATCAGGGTGAGAAATCTTATAATTGATATAGAAACACCTGTTATTGTGTAGAGTCTATTATAAATTATTTAGTAAACACTGGCAGTATAAACTCATTTTCAGGCTCCAAAGAAGATACACATATGTTTACAGTATATACTCTTTGTTTATACTACTTGTATACAGTGTGTGTGTGTGTGTGTGTGTGTGTGTGTGTGTATCTATATATCTATATCTATCTATCTATCTATCTATCTATCTATCTATCTATCAGGGCAGGCTGGCACAGAGGAGACACTGGCCCCATTGACACATAACAGTCAAATCATGTCTTGGCTATCAAAAATTTCTGTGTCTTCTGCATCCAAAGAAATTCTCTTGCTCTTTTGCTTGTTGCAGATCATTGCTTATTATTATAACCAGACTGAACAAACTATAGATTCCAAAATCCAGTGTAGTATGGCACATGGAACCCAGTTTGAAATCAAATTCAGCCACAAAACATATTGGATGATCTCCAACGAACCATAAATTCTCCGCCTAACATCAGTTTTGTTGAGACAATAAACAGGGGAAGAAATGTCGCCTTGAACTCACTTGAAGAAAGGCAAGATAGATGCAACTAATAAATAAAATCAGTCTAAAATCAGACTGGGTTCATGCCATAGCTTCCATTTTAGAAATAGACTATAGCTTGTATGAGTTATTGTTTGGTTGGCTTAGCTATTGTTTAGCAAGCTATAATTTTCTGTAAGTCAGTGTGATCAGAAAATGCAAAATGAGATGGGAACATGTATACTTGAGGCCTTTTGTTTCTGTTCATGGAGTTTTCTTGGCAAAGATACTGGAATGGCTTGCCAGTTCCTGCTCCAGGTGAATTACGTTTAGTCCAAACTCTCCACTATGACCTGTCCGTCTTGGGTGTCCCTGCACGACATAGCCCATAGCTTCTCTGAATTACTCAAGCCCCATAACCACCACAAGGCAGCAATCCGTGAAGGGGACCAAACTACGGGAGGCAGTGGAAGACAGGAGGGCCTGGCGTGCTCTGGTCCACAGGGTCATAAAGAGTTGGACATGACTTAACAACTAAACAACAATACTTGAGGCAGTGCCATAACAGCCAAACCCATTATGTTATTATGTGAGAAGCAAGCCACTCAGTTGCAGACAGTACAAATAAACAGGGAGACACAGAAAAGAGCACACTATGTAACTTTTTGTAAAAATATTAACAAAGTTATTCAATGCACATCCTTTACAGTGTAAAAGTTAACTCTATTTGATTGTAAAAGTACATATTTTAATGAAGTTGAAAGAGGTTTTCAATTAGCATGCCATGTTTAAATGTACTATAGGTGTTCCGTGTCTAGGAGTGACCATGGAATATTGTCTTCAGACAAACAGCTAGCTCTATAGGTTGGAAAAGGAGATGAGCACCGCCCCCTAGAGTCGGACACGACTGGACAAATTGTCAAGGGGAACCTTTACCTTTACTTAACCCTGGTTCTCAGCTAGGCACTTAACTCTTCAAGGATGGCTTGAACATTTAGCATCTACATCTCTAAATCCATGTTGATGCTCGGTAACCTGTGTTTATTTTTCCATCTCTTCCAGCCCAGCAACACATAACTTATAACCTTGTATGTACATAAAGACACTTGAAATTTAATAACCAACAGGAGTATAGAAACTGCCTTGATTTTTTTTAAAAAATAAACAGCCAGTTGAAGTTTGGGACTATATACAACCCAAGCTACTACAATGATAAAATACATAAAAGTATGACATGCTTCTGTTTTATGCAAACTATTCCATGGTTTACTACTTCTTGATAGCAGCAAGCATTCCAAAAAAGAGAGCAACATTTGTGATACTGTAGTTCAGGGACTGGCAAGCTTTTTTTTTTCCTCTTGAAGGGTGAATTTCAGGGAGAAATGGTGCCAGAGCCCAATATAAGCGAGTCCCCCCTATTTCCCCTACCCTTCTCACTGGGCTGTACTCTGCCGTTCCTCCCCACTGAACAAAGGAGATCACTCTTGTGGAGGCCTGAACAAATCCCTAGCAGAGGGCTTTTGAGAGCAGTGAAGGACTACTTGAAACCAAGATGAGGTTGGCGTAGAGCCCCCACCCCAAGGAGGATTGGGTCTCTTCACTCCGGGTAGGCGAAAGACAGGAAGGCAGCTGGGAAAAGAACCGGCTAAAAGCTCCCGGCACTGTCCCGTGACATCCTAAACCACGAGCCCTTCTCTACGGACCGACGGTTCCGGCCTTTTCTCCGCTCCCTCCCCCCCAAAAGCACGACAACGACGAGAGAAGCGACGCACCCTTTGAACTTGCCCGCAAGTGAGACCGGTAATTGTGACCTCTGCACTGCCATTTTGTTTGTTGTGACATCATCCCCCCTCCCACGCGTCAAACCGGCGGGGTTACGCAATTTCCAAATCAGCTCTGGTCTCATTGGTTGGCGACTTGCTTAGCCTCCTGAGAAGACCAATCAGAGAGGAGGAGAGAGTCCGCTTTTTCCCCCCTCCCCTTCTGGAAAGCAGCGGGAGGACGCACAAGTGAAACGACGTCAAATTCTGACCACGCGAGAGGGGCGGGACTAGACGGAGGGCGGAAGTTCTGGTGGACGTGAAGGTGTGGCCAAATCGAGCGGGTCGCAGGATGTGAGGGCGCGCGCGCTGAGCCCGTAGCTGGAAAGGGGGGGGAGGAGGGTGTGAACGACTCCTCTGAGGTGAGAGAGAGAGGTTTTCCTGCCTTCTCCTTCTTCCGACCTGGACTGGTAATTATTTGCAGTTTTATGGGCTTATGCCCATAAAATGTTGGTGCATAAGCCTGAAGAAGTGGATTTTACCCCCGGAAGTTTGCTGTTTGTTCGATTATTTTTAGTGGTCTAATAACGAAGGTATCGCTTATTCTTGTATTTGTGTAGGCTGGCAGAAAACTTTTAAGGATAGTCAAATGGGGTTGGTGGCGGAGGGCCTCTTCCCTTCCTTGAAACTTGCCTGTCAGAGAGTCTTAGGTAGGGAGCGGATCACCCTGGAGGAAGCGTTTCCCCCATTCTCCCCCCCACACACACACACACTCAGCGTGGCTCCTCAAATGGCGTTCCCTACCTGGTCCTTTCCTTCTGCCCAGAGTGTACTGGGGCGGGAGGTAGGAACGAAGTGGCCCGGTGCCGTTTACGTTTGTTTGTTGAACGGGCTGTTTAGTTTCTGCTTCTGGGGATGGGGTGTCAAGTGGTTATATGATGGGAACCCCATGGTGATGGGATATTTCCTTAAAAGCTCCCTAAATGGAGTTTTTGACTCGACCTAGACCACTGGTGCTTTGCTGACTTGCAGGGTGGATGTGGTTTACCACAATTGAATTTTTTTTTAAATGGAGTTTTTGATGATTTAAGTAAAATAAATTGATTTCTTATTTAAAATGTGGTTTCAATCAATTTGATTTTTAAAGCAATCGTTGGTTTTTATCCATTCTGCTGACTTGATTTCCTTGCACTAATTCTCTACACAAGAGATATTTTGGAATTTGACCATCAGCTATTCTCATGACATGCCCAAGCCAACGTAGATGTCACTGTTTCAGTAATGCATACATGCTAAAAATTCCAGCTCGTTCTAGGACTACTCTACAGTATTTGGAATTTTGTCCTGCCAAAAATGCATCGGAGGCAATGCATATGGAAAGTGCTCAGCTTCCTCTCCTGCCTTGCACAGAGTCCAGGACTCCCTGCAGTACAGGAGTGTGCTCAGGACACAGGATCTGTAGACCTGGATCTTGGTATATGCCGTCTTATTGAGCCAGACTCTCTTTGTGAGTCTAGTGAATATGTTAGCTGCTTTGCCAATGCATTTATCCAGTTTGACATCTAGGGAGAGATCTTTGAGCCAAGGTACACAAAGTCATGAACAACCTCCAGTTCTTGCGTGGAGATGGTAATAGAGGGAGGTGAGTCCACACCCTTGCCCATGACTTTTGTTTTCTTCAGGCCGATTGTTATTCCAAAGTCTTGGCAGGCTTTGATAAAACGATTCATGAGTTGTTGGAGGTCTTCAGCAGAGTGGGCAACAATGGCTGTATCATCGACGAACAGGAAGTCCCGCATGCATTTCAGCAGGACTTTGTTCTTTGTTCTCAATCTAGAGAGATTAAAGAGCTTTCCATCTGATCTAGTCCAGAGATAGACACCTTCTGTTGCAGTTCCAAATGTGTGCTTCAGCATGACAGCAAAAAAGATCAGAAAAAGGATTGGTGTGAGGACACTGCCCTGTTTTATTCCACTTCGGATGTCAAAGGGATCTGATGTGATTTTAAAAAAACAATCACAGAGACAAAGCCAACATATGAAAATAAAAGAAAACAATGAGGGTCTAAATTTGCCAGGGAATAAAACAAGAGTAGAAATTACCAACATAGAAGAACAAAAAAAATCTTAACTTTGCTATTTGAAAGAAAACTGATTATATCAGATCAGTTTTCTTAGAATGAGCATTCCACAAATGGAAACCACAACCAAGAAGGCCTGTCCTCTGCAGTAGTTACCCTGTGAGTTTCAGGACTGGGGAGCGGCATTCAGACAAGGCCCTCCACAAATGACCTTAGGCATAGATTATTATATTTGGAAGATTATGAGCCTTATAACCATATATGAGTATCTTGCTGAGCATTTTATGCACCGTTTTGAAATAAAGTATTCACATTCTAAAGCTTCAGATTTTTCTAATTTTGTAGAAAAACAATAAATGGCCAGGTGTTTGTTTCTGAATGTTTTCATCTCCCAGTGGTAGTTTTACATCTCCACTTCATTCTTATACCATGTTTGTTCTTATGTAAGCAGAAAAAAAAGGTTTTTTAAGGAATACTGGGGTAACATCATAAACATACCATTAAGTGGGAAGTTGTCAAAAGGTAAATCTTCCCCATGTTCTTTAAAAGATTTCATTTTCATATTGATGAAATGCATTGATCACTCTGGTCAAAGTGAGGAACAGTCTTAAATTTCATTATGTTCAAAGAGCATAAGAAAACTAAAACAATATCTTAAGCTTGTAAATCAGAGGTAGGCAGGTTCTGGAGATCCAGGAATGTATGTACTTTGACCTAGGGGTCACATAGTGGCCTTTGTGAACCTCACAGAGTAAAAAAAATCTCAGAGATCATCAAATCGTTTGTACTGTCAGGAGTCAATACAGTCTCCTTGCCTGTTTTGACTCCATCTCCACTGTAGTATGTTATTGACTGACATTTCCACAGTATCTGAAAGTATGTGCTTTCAAAGATAGAGGTAATGAGAACACAAAGTTGTAGAGGAGTGAGAGCTAGGGTTGCCATTCCTAAGAAGTGAGCATCACTTGAGGAAACTTTTGAAAGCAGTTGTGAAGATCTTAATTGGGCTTCCAGGAATCTCCAGCATTATATCATGTCAGAAGAACCAAAAGATCCAGGTTTGGAATAATTATCAGAGTTGGAAAACAACGCTGACCAGTACTGTTACTTTTCATCTCCATTTATTGCTGTAAACAACTATGATTTTTTTAAAAAAATGCAGTACATAGCTTGAACACTGCAGAATGTTCTGATAATGTCCACTAGACTGGGTACTTGGGGAGATAGAAAGGTTAAACTAAATAGTCTGTTTTTTAGAAGTCTATAGCACTAATAATGCTAAGACCCAGTCCATGAATTGTTATATTCTATTTACAGAACAGTTTTAAGAAAGATCATACGGATTTGTTTTCTCATAATAAATAATTAGAATGTATATTCATAATTCCATAATGAGATCTTTGAGGTATCACACATTTTAAATTAAAATTACCATCATAGTTGTTTTTAAAATTGCTTTTTTATCCACTATGAAAAAAGGGACTTTTCTGTTTTAGAAGTGTACAAACCATTTAATTCTGCATGCACATTCTGATTTAACCCTGTGTTTTGTCATATTTGCTGGGGTGAATAAAACAGATTTGTTGTTGCTGCCTTTTTTGCTCTTTTTTTTTTTTGAAGATGAGCATACAAATACAAAAATGAAGCTTATTAATGTGATAGATGTGTAGTCAATGATAAAGTTTCACTTTTAGAAAACTAATTTCCTATGCATTTCTTGTTCAGGTCTGTGAAAAGATGGCAACTAAACTACTGAGATTCCTGGCTAGATCTTCACATACAATAGGACAGTGTCGCTGCTTTCGTAAATATGCTCATCTAACATCAAGCACTATTCTTCAAGCTATGTCAAGCAGTTTTCTACCAGGAGGAAGATACATCAATCTGTACATTCCAGAGGCTGCAGCTTCTTGCTTAAATGGTGTCCATGTACAAGACAAGAATTGGTGGCGACTAAAGGTTGATGATACTACTGCATCAAAGGCTGTGAATTGTTTACATATGAATGTTTGCCTTCCATTCAAGGAAAACTGTGTCCTGAAAGATGCAAGTTACAGGCACAGTTCAAGATGTCTAAGAAATTTTACTGTTGTAACAAACAGATATTATTCAATTTTATCAACTAGTACAGTTGTGGCAAGTAAAGATATTGTTCCAGGCAAAAAGTCACTAAAGGCATCTCGGACCAAACAGCCATCTAGAGCTAATTTACCACTGCCATCTGAAAGTGAGGTAAAGTATGAAATCTCTGGATTCTGTCATTTGGGTCCCTTTTTGGAGAGAAAGGCGGACTATTAAAAATAACAGCAACAACCACAATAATTTGAAAGGATCTCAGAAATCAGAATAATATTTAATAATATGTAATATGCAGGGTGAGGTACCCCATGTGAGCACAAGCCCTTTCCTGACCTGGGTCCCCAATTCATCATTTTGCTTTTCTTATGTGGCTTTGAAATGCATGTCTTGCCAGCTTGGGACATCAGAAATGGAGGAGGAATGCAAGAAAATATAATATGTTTTCTTTTACTGAGTTCCTCCCTTCCTCTCTCCCCCCCCCCCTTGTATCTACTTCCATCTTCATTCCTGGCTTGTTAGTAGAAGATCAAGTGGGAGAGGACCAGATATTTTTCATTACTTGATATGAGCATTTTTAGTAAAATGCTGTTGAATTTCCATTTTGATAGAGTTCAGCTATTGTGATTGAACTTGAGAACCAACATGTCATTTGGCAAATGGATTGCTGATGAAATGGACAAGCTAGTTTAATTCCTAGCAGGTATGCAGTAACAAGTCAGTTTGTGATGAGCCTTGTGGTGCAGTGGTTAAACTGCTATACTGCAGCCAAAACTGTGCTCACAACCTGGGGTTCAATCCCAGGTAGGCGGCTCAAGGTTGACTCAGCCTTCTATCCTTCCGAGGTCAGTAAAATGAGTACTCAGGGGGGGGAATGTGTAGCCTGCATAATGAACTTGTAAACCACTCAGAGAGTGCTTTAAGCACTATGGGGCGGTGTATAAGCAGCACACTATTTTGTAATAGAACTTGGTGGGTGCATCTTTATTTCCATTTCCTTTGGAATGGCAATAATGATGTGCCTAGTAGTCTCTGATAGTTAATAGAAATAATGGCTTGCATGTTGGATATGTAATATTCACTCAGCTCCAAAGTGCAGTGAAATAATTTTCCTACAACTAAAAGATTATGTTTGGGGAAAGACCCAGATCTTACAGCGGGCAGTTGTGATAATAGTTTCCATAGTATATAAGTGATTCTAGTGTAGTGTTGAAGGGTAGTGGTGACTCAGGTTCAACTCACTCTTGGTCATGAATCTCATGAGTTGCCATAAAGCAATTTATTCTTTTTCACAAAAGAAGCTGAAAGCAGTTTGTGCTTTTATAGGCTTGTAATGTGAATGTAAAATCTACATTAACCGTGATGGGCATTTGTTTTATAAACCTTTCTCCTTTTAGTTTCTGAAGAAAAGCACTAAGCCTGTTTAAATTTCATATGTTAAAATGCCTTGACCTTGTAAATATATTGTAATATTGTAAGTTTATTGTAAGCATAACTGAATTAAATACTTTGTATACTGAAAAATCAGGCAAATAATTGATAAATTCTTAAAGTTGCCATACTGTTTTATAATAGTACAAGTGACAGCTGAGTGATAGTACGTGACAATGAGTATCAAAGAGAACTAATAGTAATAATACCTTCTGGCCATCAGTTTAATTCTGACTCATGGTGACCTTTTCCAGGGTTTTCTAAGTACAGAGTACTCAGAAGTAGTTTACCATTCCCTTCTTCTGGTGGTACTCTGGGGCTGTGCAGTTTCCCTAAAGCTACATAGAGTGGTTCTTCTGGGAGTCATAGTGAAGGATCAAACTATACCAGTGCCTCTATAGCTAGCAGTACAACTCGCTAGTACTAGTGCTGTAAAAAAATAATGAATATTTCTGTAGTCTGCAGTCTTTATTTCAGTCTTAGCTTATGGATATTACTGGGTCAAGGTTTTCTACATTGTAAGGAAAGTTTGGTTTTGAGACTAAGCCTGCCTATGTTTCAGGATTTTTATTATGTGTCTTCTATAATCTCATAATATGAATTGAATTATATGTGTCATTCTTTGTAGCAGTTTGCAATTATATTGCTCCATGACACAATATAATAAAGAAATAATTTTGAGGACAGTGTTTTGGTAATGGGTAAATAAGGCAACATTTTAAGATCATTTCTGTGTTCCTAAATGCTGAGATCTCTCAAGTGCTGTTCATGATTCTGTCTGAGTTGCAGTAAGTGAGCATTTTCTGTGCTCATTTATTGTATACTCGGAGGAATATGGTCCCAGCCTTGAACATCACTGTAAATTAAGTCAGTTTCTAAAAGGTCAGGATGCTATGACATCCAAGAAACATCTGGAAAAAAAATACTTTTTTTGCAGGCAATGTTTTCTGTTACTGTGCTTTTTTTCGCAGCTCAGAAATACAGGGCAGATTTTCAGGCACACCAAAGGAGTAGGCTCCTTTCATTAAGAGCTGCCACATGGCAAAATTTCGTGCCAGAGATCATACTTACTCAGATTATGTGAAACAACATTCACAACTCGAAACAGCAGTTTTTGCTTTTCCCTGACTTATAGCTCCACCTGCTGGCTGTAAAAGTGCAGAGGCTGATTTTTTCCCTGACTATACAGTATAAAGATTAAGATTAGGCCTTGGCAAAAATCCATCTGCTATAAACATATACTACAAAACACCTTCGACTCTGCCAGAAATCAGCTCCAAACTCAGAAGAATGGTCAGGGCCATATACTTCTTGAATTGAAGCAAGGAAAGGTGTTTTTTTTTTTTAAAAAAAGTTGTTTTGGAACACATAACTGGGTCTCACTGAGGAAGGAAGAGAATAAATGGGAATAAAACTTCAAGGGCAGTTAACTAGCTACATCTTCGGGTAGTTTGTGGATGTAGGAATGGAAAAGTTTCCAGATGCAGCCAAATCTTACTTGGGGATAGATCCCACTCAATCCGGTGGTGTGTGTATCCACCTAGGAATGTAAAAGAGCCACGCTGGATCTGCTGAAATGCTTATCTAGCCCAGCATTCTGTTTGTACCATAGAATCCACTTGCCTGTGGGATGTCCACCAGCTGAGAAAGGAGGCAACAGCAACCTCCCTCTCACATTCACTAGCAACTGACACAGAGTCATGCTGGCTCTGAAAGCCCTATTAGGGTCACTATTGGTCGGTTCTGACTTCGTGGCACAGAACACACACAGAGATGTCACTAGACCATTTTCTAATATTGAACCATGTTTCTTTGGCACAGGATCTGATGCAGTGCATAGCCTATGCAACAGCAGATGAGTATCATCTCGGTAGCCTTTGTCTTGATCTAACATCATCTGGATATGTTGAAATAACAACCCTGCCTAGAGGTACATCTCCAAACATTTTTTCTGTCTTCTGTTGGAAACAATTTACAGGTTAAATGTAAGGACTGAAGTACTGTGGTATTGCTATTTGTCATTTTCAACCGGTGCTGGTTTGGGATATGCTACTTCCTTGGAACAGTTATTACTGGAGACACGATGTTGCTTGAAGTATAATCAACTGTTCTTATGCAATGCAGCCGAGCCCTAGGTTGTACTTCAAAGGTGTACTTCCATACATAAGAGAAGTGAGATGAACATTGAACAACAGGAAGCAGACATATAAAACATTTCCTTATGAATCGTTCCCTGTAGTAATTCCTCTCAGTATCTTTTATATTAATCTTTTTGTGAAAATGTTAGCAGCAGCCATTCTAAATTAAATCTGTGGTGTGCCATGTATATCCCTAGATCACAACCATGGAATTAAAATGAGCTGTACGAGAAGCCTTCACTACACAGGGAAATTACACACCCAGAAGTTTTCAGGAAACATGATTCTAATGGTTTTTTTAAAAAAACTGCAAGTAGGATTGAGAACACTTTGGGCTTTTGCTGCAATGCTGGATTTTGGCAGTGGTGCAGGATTGTAGCCTGGAGTGAGATCTGTGAGGATGAAATTGGTTCCAACCTCCTGAAGTTACCCACCCCAACATAAAAAATAACATTCCAAACAAACACTGTTTATAATTTTAATGTGTCCAAATCAGTCACTTCTTTGTCTTGTCTGCCCCCATCCTGTCTCCTCAGAAGATGCCTTCATGTTGGTTGGTTCTTGAATTCTTGAGGAGAGGCACTTGTTAGACTACTTTTGGTTGATTTGTTCTTATGGCTTTTTCCTTTCACCTTACGACTAATACACTTCTAACTACCTGCAGTCCCTTTTACCTTATACAAATCAGTACCTAATTCTGGAGATTTCATTGTTTGAAAGCAAATTTAATAAGCATGCAGCCATCCAGACTTGGTATAAGAAGGAATTGTTGGTTTATACTCACTTATTTTTCTTGCAGAGAGAGAGAGAGAGAGAGAGAGAGAGAGAGAGAGTTTTTGGCAGCTTCTTAGTTCAAGCATGCATATTTTTAGGAATGAAGCTAGATGTTTCATGGAAGTGGAAAAAATAGATTCCTAAAAATATCATACTATGTGCCTCAAGGGTTCCCAGTGTGGTGTAGTGGATAGAGTGATGGACTAGGACTCTGGAGAACAGTGTTGGAATCCCCATTCAGCCATGGAAACTGACTGGGGGAGTGAAGCTGGTAAAATGACTACTTAAATATCTCACTTACCTTAAAAACCCTATTTGGGTCACTGTAAGTTACTTGGCAGCACGTAACAACAACGAAGTGGAGAAATTTGTAGGATTAATTGTACTATAGCATGGTAAATGAAAAAGAACATAATCTAGAAGGGCAGTTTGCTGATGAGTATCGTCTACTAGATTTAAACAAGCAAATAGGATGTATTCATATTTATAAGGATGTTTTAATTTTCCCAGGCAATAGCCAAATGCAGTTTTTATTGACTTCACAGTTTTCAGTAAACGAGGCAGACTGAAAATGACAGTGTCTAACCTTAATACAGAATATGCAAGTTTCTTGATTGCACGCATGAGTGAAAAATGTGAAATTATAGTTCTGTTCCCTCTGAGGCCAAATTTAGACATTCCTACATAGATGGAATACAGTTTTCACCAGGTTTTGTACTACTCTGGTATTACAATGTTGTTGTAGTGGTAGGTTTGCTTGACTTCCCCTTTGCTCAGGCTTCTAGGTTTGATCTCCTAGAGTGGGAGGAAAGGAAAAAATGAATTTAGTAAAGGGCACAGATGTTTGCATAATGGAAAAAGCAATGAACAGAGAACCTGGGACAGAAGGAAAGCTAGAATCCACGGGGATTTGGAAGAAGCAGAAAATGGTGTCCACCTCTAGTTTGTAGATGGGTAGGAAACTACTTCCTATCTCATCTTTTTATGCGGTATCTCCTTGCTAAATGCATTTGCAATAGTGTGGAAAGACGCCACACAATTTAATCTATGAATATGACTTTCTAGTTCCTGGATCTTAGCAGTTGATGCTGAAGAAGTGGAAGTGTTTCTATAGGTTTAGCTGTATTCCAGCTAATCATATAACAACTATTGCTGTTGGCACTACATGGTTGTGTATTGGACAGACTAGATTAAATGCAGATTCCTGCATATTAATGATGTATCATAACACAGACATTCTGTTTTTCAGGAGTCTCAATGACTCTTAGGGCAGCTTTCTGCAAAAACGTACTGCTAGTTATTACTTTATTCATACCTCTCTCTGTGGTTCTTAGATGCCTTTCCAGTATGTTGGCTCCAGTCCTGGTCCCTGACTTAGAGGCATCTGGTAAATACTTCTAGCCCTATTCATTTTTAACTGGTCCTTCTAAGGGGATTTGTTCAGTAGTGGGGACAGTAAGAAAAATAATAGATTAGTAAGATGTGTCCTGAGACACTGGAAGTTGTTAGACATGGCTCTCTCCATAAACTAACAAAGGGATAAAGCTAGCTGAATTGCTTGTGAAGCTGCTAGTGTATCAGTTTAGTTAAACTTAGACAAAAACCTCAGCAGGACTGCTAATAATAGGACCTTATTGAGATCATTTATGAGGTTGCTGTAAGTTGGAAGCCTTTGATGTCACACAGCACCTGAAATCCTGTTGCTTAGCATAGTAAATCATACTAGAGAAGGCTCATTGAATTTAGTGGGTCAGCTCTTCTGTAAGTTTCATTGTTTCAAATGAGCTTACTCTAGTTGTGATTTAACTGTGCAAAAGTAACTCACAACTAGAGTAGGTGCATTTGAATTAATGAAACTTAATAGAGAGGTTGATTCACCAAATTGCTGCTGATTCAGTGGGCCTACTGTAATGCAACTAACACAGTATGTTAAGCAATAGGATTTCAGCCAACAACAAAACAGAGGGTGGTAAAGACAGTTTGGAAAATGGTAGTTCAGCTAATACAATTGTACTGTGAGACTTATTAATCTTTGGGTCAAAACCAATGCATTATCTATCATTTATCTCAGTTGCTGAAAACTGTCATGAGTCCATTCATTTGTACTTTAGAATAGGTGGAGCTTTTCTTCCATTTGTGTTTGAAGCAATCCAGTGTAAAGAGCTTATTCTGAAATAGCTTGATAGATGACCAGTAATATATTCTGCATTTCAAAAAATGTCACATGTAATATTCCTGACAATCTTTAAAAGTTTGTGAAACGAGCAGAATTATGAATGAAATCATTTGTGAAACCATTTGCAACCAGGGTATAGGTCACCAATTGCTTTTTATATTGCTTTATTTACCAGCTCTTTTAAAAAATAGAACTTGTTTTTCTGTAATTCTATGATGAAATGGGACATTATATTAAGTCACATACAGGGGCTGGACTTGATAATCCATAGGCCACGTCCACCTCTGCAGTTCTATGATGATGATGAAAATGCAGTAGAATCTTACAGATACTTATTTAGAGGTGAATTCAGTAGCACTTAGTGGGTTGTATAGTCTGGTAAATAAGCATAGCATGGAAATGAAATGTCTTGAGAACTCTTATTGTGTCTTAATTATGATTCATCTGCTTTAAAAAAAAATAAACTAGATGCGGCAAATGTTTTGGTAATTGGGACTGAACACGCTATGAAAAATTTTGATCCCGGAATGGTATTTTTCTTCAGGTAAGTAAAGTCCATCAATAATAGCCATGTGAACTAGTTTTTATTTTTAATTATGGTGTGGCTTAAGTGTTATATCTGTTAGGACTTTGAGTTTTGAGGGGGCCTATCCTTGTGTCATCTACCAGAATGTCTTTGTAAATGATACACTTGTATCATTTTGCATGCTGCAATATTGGTCTTATTCTTAGTTAGCTACAAAAGGCAGTGAAATTTCTGTATAATATCTTTCAATAAATCTGGTGAAAAAGAAGCTTTACTGTCACAAACCCTCTGCCTTAATGCCTTGTGGTATGCATACTTGCCTAGGAGTAGACCATAGTTAATACAGGAAGACTTGCTTCTGAGTAACCAAACAGAAAAAGAAAGGTACCTTCCAGTCTTTATTTTAGAAAATTTAAACCATTTAATATGTAAATTATTTGTTTCACTCTGAAGCTTTGTTATTTTGTCACTTTTAAGGCCAAATAACTAGGAAAATGAAAGAAGAGCCCTGCCTCCTAATGATTGCATGTTTCAAACATGAAGTATAGAATTTGAGCCTAATATCCTCTTGCAATTCTGTTGATACAGGGAAGGATCTGTTGTGTTCTGGAATGTTAAAGAAGAAACGGTAGGTGGGAGGCAGGTTTTATGAGGTAAACTACACTAGTTGAAGGTGCAGGATTTAATAATAATAACCCAAACTGATTTACTAAACTTAAAAGTGTGTTGTACAAGAAGTCAAAGTGTGGTTCTATAATGGAAGAAACCATTGAAGGGTCCTGGGCAGGGTAGTGGAGGAAAAAAAGCTCTAACATGAATGGTTCTGAAAAGGGCAAGTATTCATCTGGCCTGGTGTCTTGCTAACATGAGCAGAAGAAATTATACTCACAATAGCTAGCAATCTTTTCTTTTTTTGATAAATTTATGTTGAACAACCATATCTGCAGAATTATGGGGTGATTGTTAATTTATATGATTTCCATGTTAGCACACAGAGTCAAAAACCCGGGATTCACTTAAGCATGGACACATCAAAATTTAACTACACTTGTATCATTTTGCATGCTGCAATATTGGTCTTATTCTTAGTTAGCTACAAAAGGCAGTGAAATTTCTGTGTAATATCTTTAAATAGATTCACATGCTCTGTGCTTTCAAACTAAGCAGTGCTCAGTGCTGTGGGTTATTGTTTGAAAGTAAAGAAATTGTTTAAAGCAGTGGTTCCCAAACTTGTGTCCCCATATGTTCTTGGATTAAAACTCTCCTTTACTACTAGTTGTGCTGGTCAGGATTTCTGGAAGTTGCATTCCAAGAACATCTTGGGACCCAAGGTTGGGAACCATTGGTTTGAATTGTAGGGTACGTCTTACAGTCAATGTAGAGATGAAAGATGATCTGGTCATGGCTATGTAGGAAGTACAGCCAGATTCTGGGGTGAAGTCATCTTTCTAGATACAAACACATCCTCTAGGTAATGTAAATGTCACATCAGAGGGCATTTGTAGGAGGAAATAGATGGGAAAAGATGCTTAACTTGACAGTTTTCTTTTGCAAATACTTTACCACACCCTTTCTCCTGCAATTTTTTCATCTAAAGTGTTTGCTTCAGTTTCAGAAAATTGATTGTGGGGGAGGAGGAGTTCCAGTTCTAAGAACACTTGTAGGTAGAAAGAAAGAGTTAGGAACAGATAACTATCTCTTACTAGTTTTTCCTTGTAAATGTTATTCTTCCTGGCATTTGCATTGTGAGGAAAAGCTGGATGTTTTGAGCTCTGAATATTTCCTTTTGATATGTTATTCTACTCTTTTTGTACTCTTGCAAACAGACTGAAGGCAGCATGACAGGTAGTCTTGAGTTATCTGGTATGACCTCCTCATATTTGTCAGAAATTTTGATATATAGCATATTTCCTAGATGAAGAGCATAATGCGAGTCCTGGAAAAGCATGAGGTTCAGCCATATGAAATTTCTCTCATTCACTGGGAGAATGAAGAAATTAACTACAGGAGAGAAGGGTAAGTATTTTACTGTCATAAACTATGTAGAATCTACTTTCAACAGGCCAGGAAGTACTACAGCTTATTTCCTGAACATGTTAGTGAATATATGCCTTCTTTGCCAATCCATATGGACGTCTCACAACCTCCTAAATTCTAAACCACTTCCATGCTTGTTTTGCAAAATAAAATACTGCTGTTCCTAGCTTAGATATAGTCATGTGACATGCAAACCCCTCAAAAGAAATGTTGACCTGAATAGTGCTTGGTGTTTTTTTTTCCCCTTGGTTTTGGCAGGACCCGTAAAATATGATATTGGCATATTTACTTCTATAAAATATGTGGTTTTTCCAAACCAGCAATCTCCTGCTTGGTTCCATTTGTACCACTCCATTTTACATTTTATAATGGCCATTTTCTTACTGTTTAGCACCTCAAGAAATGTAGTAAATATTATTTTTATTTCAAATTAGTCACTGGTGAAAGAAAAATAAAGATGAAAATTCCTTGTAACAGTGAGTGGTATTTCATGTTCTTTAAATATATATGAGATGGGAACAAACTGCTGGTTCAGCAGTTTGTACTAGTTTGTCCTTTGGATGAACAGATGTTTGGTGCTTCCCAGCCCCACCACCTCCAGCAGGTGTCCATTCAGAGGCAACATCTAGGGGAGCCAGGGCACTGCCTCTGAGGTGGGATTGCAAACTGCCCATCTCTTATATATATATAAGAGGATGTAAGCACTAAAAATAGGCAAGTAGGTAAGCATTAAGGGGGACTCGAAGAGGACAGATGTCCATGCACAGTTGTACACACCTATTAGATAAAGTGTATAAAGAATAGTGTAAGGCCAGCTTCTAGTTTACACTGAGAAGAATTTTAAATGACCCAAGGGATAGACATGGGTGCTGTTCCTACAAATCAAAGGAGATCCCCAAGATTTTACTGTAGGTGAATTTGAAACCAATGTGTCCATTCTGCCCGCTTAAAAAAAACTCCTGCTTTTTACAAGACAGTTCATAATTGGCGTAAAGCTTGAAAAAGGAGGGGGGGAGACTAAGTGACTCTGCTAATGCAAATTTTGAAGTAAATCCAGCTTACTGTCCCTGTATTACAGGTTGGAAGGGCTGTGACTTGCAGAAAGTAGCATAATATAGCCCTGCAGAATAGTGCGTACTGAATACAGCTGGTCAGGTTCAGAGTGGCTTAGATGTACAGTATTGTCCAGAGGCATTTACACCCGTATGTTATGGGGTAGAGGGTGAAGTACTGAAGTGATGGGAGTATATTACAACATCTCTACGGTGTTGTCCCTTGTTTTTATGCCCCTGTTGTAGGTTGGGCTGGAAGGGCAGAATTGAAGCTAAACAAACTCATCCATTAGCAGGGGTAAGAACTGAGCATATACAGTAGTAGAAGAGTTCCTGTTTCTTGGTCTTATTTGTATTTTAAAAACATGGTAATGGGCTGGCTATATGGTTTGTTCCTTCCTGATGTACTCTGCCCTAAGTACTACTGACACATGGTGGCTTAAGTGAAATAGCATGGATTACAGTAGCAAATTGTTGCTAGTTGAGGAGTCTATACAGTACTTGTATGTCTCATTGGACAACAGTCATGTGACAGTTCAACAAGAATATAAGTGTTGATTCTTTAATTAGCAGCAATTTGCAGTGATCTATACCATTTATCTTATGACTGCATACATAAGTAATAGGATTCTGACCTCTACTTGTCATGTGGATTTTGTTAAGACTCATTGTTCTTTACAGAGGATTATCAAAGCTTCATAGAGGAGAAATCACAATCAGTTCAGAACTAGATACTGATGAAGCCACTCTAGAAAAGTTTGCATTTTCAAATGCGCTTTGTCTTTCTGGTAAGCTATATATTGTATTAGACCTTTAAAGCAGAGCTTTTTGGTGGGATTGCACTATTACTTGTGGTGTGTAGTAAGCACACTTGTCAAGATAATTTCCCCCAAAATATTATTTGAAATGGTTAGGAAACCTGTGGCCTGCCAGATGTTGAACTCTAATTCCCATCAGTCCTTGCCAGCAAGGTTGGAGATAAAGAGTGTAGTTCAACACCTGGAGGGTCACAGGTTCTTCATCCCAGGCTAAAATAAATCTTATGAATGTATACCATACAGTACTTTTGCAACCATATATTACTGTAGCAGAGACAAAAGCTGCTTCTCAACAGAGACAGTGAGAACTGAATCAGTGAGAAGTTACACTTGCAAAATACTCTGTATAAAACCTGTATTGCTACACTCTTTTTGAAAATTCAGTCCTGATCTCAGGTTCTTTTCTCTTGCACAAAAGGACCTCCCCCACCCCCATAAATTCATTGCAGCTGTTCAGGTTGTGCTATAAAAATACCATTTTTTTTAGTTCAGAGCTTTACAATTAAACAGTTTACCTGCAGGTAACCATGTTATCCTACATAATGTATCTGATCTAAAAGGGACAAGAGTACGGAGATTTGTGTTCAGATCATCTGATTTTCTTATGTTTTATACTGAATTGAGAAGATTGATAGTAATAGGAGCAACAAATTATATCTTTTTTTTTCATTATAAAATCTGTATTAACACTGGGGAATACAATTTAAACTAGAGAAATAGTGCAAGAGAAAAGTACATCTCCTTTATCTTATAACTGCAGTAAAAATCATATAACTGCTTCAAAATTGGATAACAGTCTTTTTCTAAAGACAGGACTTTAGGGCAAAACTTTATATTTTATGTACTCAGTGCTCACCAGAAACCAACTGGAGAAATTCGAGATCCAAATGATGTTGGAATATTAGTCCGAAGGGGGGGGAGGGCTTTTAGTTTAGAGGGTTTTTGTTGTAGTTAATGATGATTTGATTTTTTTTTATTTGTTCTGTAGTATTGTTAATTTTAAAAAATTGGATAACAGCAGCAACAACTGATGTATGTGAATGTATTTCCCTTACTATGTGGATATTTCTTTAAGAGTTACTTTCAAACACAACCAGCCTTAAGCTTGGAAAAAATCCATTATATAATAACATCTAACAATTTTATTTTGTGGTAACATGCAAATGAAGTAAACATGCATAATAAATTTTTGTGCTTTTTTCTGATGTAGTAAAACTGGCCATGTGGGAGGCATCAGTGGATAATTTTATAGAATCTATCCAGTCAATACCTGAGGTATTTGCTACTCTTTTCATTTATTCCTAAAAAAGAAATAGAATAGGGTGACTTTGAAAGCTTTTCGATATAGAAACCTGAACAAGGGGAAGAATTGTTAAAGCAGAATGAAATTATAATTAGAAATTAAGATTTGTATGCCCAGTATCTGCTTCCAATCAAAATTTGTGTTTAAGATGGATGGAGCAGCTTCAGCTTAATATCTAGTGACTTCATAGGTGCTTAACTAAATCTATAGAAAAGTTTCCTCAGCCTTTAAATCTGCTTTGGTGTTCTATGGAAAACTAACAGATCAATAATTTTAACTAAATTGGTACTACCTAATGCTAAACCGCAGAAGCCTATGCTGCTGGGTCAGAAGACCAGCTGTTGTAAGATTGAATCCACGTGACGGAGTGAGTTCCCGTCACTTTGTCCCAGCTCCTCACCAACCTAGCAGTTTGAAAGCATGCAAATGCGAGTAGATAAATTGGTACCACTATGGTGGGAAGGTAAAACAGCGTTCCCTCATCATGCTGGCCATGTGGCAACGGAAACTGTCTTCGGACAAGCGCTGGCTCTACGGCTTGAAAACGGGGATGAGCACCGCCCCGTAGAGTCGGACATGACTGGACTAAAAATGTCAAGGGGAACCTTTACCTTTACCTTACAAGATAGTATAGGCTTCTTGCCTTCCAAGCAGGAAAAATCCACTTGTTCATGCCCTACTAATTAGAGTCCTGGGAGTGCACACTTTTAAGTTATAAAGAACTTTTTCAGATGTACCAAAAGAAGAAACAACAAAACCTGAAAAGGTGTTACATGCTCTATTAGATATTACTCTGTAAACAACATAAGATTTGTACAAAAACTGGTGGCCATAATCCAATTGCCAGTGTATACTTGCATAAGTGGAACGGCATAAGTAGTGATTGAAAATTGCCACTCATTATTGAGCTGCTGGCTGTGTATCTGGGACTATGCGAAATTATGTGGTAGTATGCTTCTTCAGGAACTCATACAGCACCTCACAAATAAGTAATGAATTACATTATTTCACTTAAATAAATGGAAATTGGCAGTTGAATTCTGGCCATTCTATGAAATGTTTTATTGGATAGAATAGTACTCTCTTTTTAACTTAAAATCGTAGGGAGAAATGTTGCTGTTCTGTTCTTTTTTATTTTTCTATTCAAATGGTGTAGTATGTATGCTAAATTATTCCTTTTTCTACTGACATAATCAATGTACTTTGCTTATTTGCTTCTTTCCATGTGCTGAAGAATTTAAACCAGTTCAGATTCTCTGCATCAAAAAGTAGCATATTAGCAGGTAGAAAACTAATGTCTGTGTTGAGGAAGGAAGCTACCCTCTTTCTCCAACAGTCCACAGAACTGCTTTGGTGGATCCTTCCAAACTGCAGAACTATGAGGGGGTGCTGATAAGTATTGAGCCTTTCCCAGAAAAAAATGAGCTAGGAAGCAGTAACTGCCACACTATTCTATATATGCCCCCAGGAAATCAATGCACTTGCGACATCTGTCCTGCAGCTTCTTAAGTCCCTGCAAATAAAATTCTTCCGACTGCTGGTGTAACCACTCATTTGCAGCATTAGTTGCCTCCAGAACGCTCCCAAATCGTTACCCCTTTAGGTGTTTTTTGAGTTTGGGGAACAGATAATAGTCAGAAGGAGCCAGGTCGGGAGAATAGGGTGGATGGGGCATCACTTGAAAGCCTAAGGACGTCAGTTTTGCCATTGTTTCACCTGCAGTGTGTGACAAGGCGTTGTCATGCAACAAGATGACACCTTTGGAGAGCTTTCCTTGATGTTTTGTCTCAACTTCATCAATAGAGCACAGTAATAGTTTGCATTGATGGTTGAACCCTGTTGGAGGTACTCCACCAGCAGAACTCCCTTTCTTATTAAAAAAAAACTGTTGCCATTTGCTTCTGCACTGACCTTCGCACTCGGAAGTTCTCTGGCGTGCGGGAACCACTGTGCCTCCATTCCTTAGACTGTTCCTTTGTCTCAGGATCATAACAGTAGATCCATGTCTCATCACCAGTGTGGCGGACAGCCCATATGTCACTCCTGTCAGTCATCTTAGAGCTCTAGTACAGGAGCCTATGACAGGACAAGAGGGGTGGAGTCAAGAAAACTGGGAGTGCCACAGAGGCAGTTAGAGTGTGACAGGGGGTCATTTAGGAAAAAGGTGGTGAAGCGTTTAGAGAGTTAGAGAGGAGCCTGTAAAGTGTTTAGACAAGATATTGGACAGTTGGTTAGTTAGAGAATATTAAAGAGTTAAAAGGAATTAGAAGAACATTGACAGTCAGAAAATATTGAGATCTTGATTAAAGTAAATGAGTACAAGCAAGCTTATAAGTAATCAAATCCATGTTTAATGAATGAATGATAATAGACCATCCATGATTTTTCTTCTGTGATTCACTTATTTATCCTTAAATAAATCTTGTTTTATTTGGCAGCAAGAGTGTGAGACTCATACTTGATATAGTGAGGATAATATCCTCTGGTAGCAGCGAAAAAGGGGTAAAGAACAAGTTGTTTCCAAAGGTGAACTTGTGTGAGAGGCAAAACACATAGGGGGTCACTGGGGGTGCGCCACAACCAGTTACCTGTTTGCCCAGGAAATCTGACTCATTTCTTGCAAAATGTTCCAAAACAGCCACAAATGGCTCCACACGTTTCCTCTTTTGTTCGGTTGTCAAAAGTTTGGGGAACCACTTTGCTGCCAGCTTTCTCATGTCCAAGTCGTTGTGGATAATGGCACCAACTCTCTCATGTGATATTTTCAGATACAGTGGTGCCTCGCACGAGTGCCTCACACAACGATAAATTCACACAACGATGGCTTTTCCTGAAAAATTTGCCGCCTCACACAACGATGTTTCCTATGGGGAATTTTCGCACAATGATGTCCCTTTTCGCTCCTGTAAAAGTACCTTAAACTGTTTGAAAAGTGTTTTAAATGCTTGCAGTCATTAGCCCACCTCCTGAAACCTACGCAAACTTAATTTGGTGTTGTTCTGAGTCTTTGTTAATTTTT